GGGGGGGGGGGGGGGGGGGGGGGGGGCGACTCGGTGTACTTCAAAGCCTGACACTCAACCCGACACAGCCGGCGGTTGCTTACATAGGGTTTAGGGGCTTAAGAAAAGGGTTTGGGGTTTGGGGTTTGGGGCTTGGGGCTTGGGGCTTGGGGCTTGGGGTTTGGGGTTTGGGGTTTGGGGTTTGGGGTTTGGGGTTTGGGGTTTGGGGTTTGGGGGTTTGGGCTTGGGGCTTGGGGTTTGGGGTTTGGGGTTTAGGTTTAGGCTTTAAGATGAAGGTTTTGGGGGTGTCTGAGGGGCTGAGCTGTGTTTTGGGTTTAGAGTTTAGGGCTTCCGTTCGTCTTCACGAGCTCCCCAGCCTCTGCATGCTCTGTGGGCACGTCTGCCAGCAAGACCTTTCCCCGGGGCGAGCCAGGGGCCATGAAGAATTCTATTCTTGGAAGTTAGAAGGGAACTTGAACCCTAAACAAGAGAATGACGGCTAAACCCCAAACCCTAAACCCTAATCTCTAAACCCTAACCCCTAAACCCTAAACCCTAAACCCTATACTGGTCCTAGTCGTTGGTGGCCTCATCATCCTGGTGCAGCCAGGTGGGCTCTGCCAGTCCACGCGCCGCCTTCGGGGGCTTTTGGGCTTCGTTGGGTGGGGGGGGCGGGCGAAGTAGGGTTTATGGTTTCGGGCTTAGGGTTAGGGTTTAAGGTTTAGGGTTGAGGCTTTAGGGCTGAGGGTTTAGTACCCATTACTTTGGGTCAGACTTGATGGTGATGCGTACTTAGCGTACTTTAGAGGTCTGTGAAAGTTTCATAGCTTGGAACCCTCAAGCCTCCCAGACCTTGAGCCCCTAAACCCTCAACCTTACACCTTACGCGACCCAAACTCTAAAGCCTACCCCGACCCATAAAACCTAAACCGTAAACCCTTGACGCTAATCCCTAAACCCTAAACCCTGAACCTGCTGGCACCTCATCGAGCGTCTTCCGCCGAATGCGCCGCCTTTGCTCGCCGTTTTGGCCCACCTCGAGTCCAAAAGAATTGGTTTAGGGTTTAGGGTTTAGGGCTTGGGGTTTAGGGTTTAGCGCTTGGCGTTTAGGGTTTAGGGTTTGGGAATTGGAGGCAAACATGCCTTGTAGGTGTCTTTGGTGGTTTCCGGGATGGGATTTGAGGGGTTTTAAGGTTTTGGGTGAATGCTTAGGGTTCAGGGTATTAGGGATATAGGGTGTAGGGTTACAGGGAAACTACAAGGATCTGTCGAGCCAGCACGGCGCGACGATGTAGGGTTCGAGCCCAAGGACTAAGGTGTCGAGGGCTGATTGGGCTTTTGGCATTCGGGTTTAGGGTTTGGGGTTTGGGGTTTAGGGTTTAGGGTTTGGGGTTTAGGGTTTAGGGTTTGGGGTTAAGGGTTTAGGGCTTTTGGGGGCTTTCTTTGTTTAGGGGTAAGGGTCTAGGGTTTGGGGTTTAGGGTTAGAACGCTGAGAGGGCCCTTGGCCGTAAACTGGTGTCTATCTTACGGGCTGAATGTCCTAGCCCAAAAAAAGGTTAACCTTTCTATACAGAGTAGGACTCCATACATAACCGAAAGAGGTTAAAGGCTACCTACCCAGTCCCTAAGCTGTTTCCCTAAACCCTAAACCCTAAACCCTAAACCCTAAACCCTAAACCCTAAACCCTAAACCCTAAACCCTAAACCCTAAAGCTGCGAGCCTCCTCCATCTTGGAAAGGTCCACGCTGGCCTGAGATCTGACGTCCCCCCCCCCCTGTACCCGCCAACTTGCGGAAACCTTGGGATGCTAAGCAGCCCTAAACCCTAAACCCTAAACCCTAAACCCTAAACCCTAAACCCTAAACCCTGAACCCTGAACCCTAAACCCTAAACCCTGTTTCCCATCAAGCTTCAGGGGTTCTCGGAGTTCCTAGCCGTGGAGTAAGTCGAGTGCTTGAAGGCAAAAAGAAAGCATGTACCCTAACCCTAAACCCTAAACCCTAAACCGTAAACCCTTAGGGTCCCAGTTGAGTGGGTCCCGTTGTTGAGGATTCTCGTATGAAAAGGTGCCTAGAACTAGCATGGCCGTGGGCTTCGGCTGTCTAACATCTTCAGCCATAAACCCTTCGGGTCAAGGGTTTAGGGTTTAGGGTGTAGGGCTAAGAAACATATAAGGCCTCCAAGCCCAAACCCAAACCTACTAAATCCTGAACCCTAAGCCTAACTCTTAAACCCTTCACCCTCCTAAGCCCCATCCCATGAAACCCTAAACCCTAAACCCTAAACCCTAAACTCCTAAACCCTAAACCCTAAACCCTAAACCCTAACCCTAAACTCCTAAATACCCAAACCCGAAACGAGCCGAGGCACAGCTGCGCTCAGCTCCACTGTTGGCGAGGCCTTAGCTTCCTGGAGCTTCGACCAGACCTGGAGGGTTTAGGGTTTAGGGTTTAGGGTTTAGGGTTTAGGGTTTAGGGTTTAGGGTTTGTAGGTTGGGATGTTCCCCCTTATACTAACAATCCTTAATTGGGATGATAGGACCCCCTACTGCAATCCCTCTGAAGGACTGTTAGTATTAGGGGGAACATCCCAATTCATAGGGCTCTAGGGGAGAATTCATCGGGATCAGAACATAGGGTTTGGGGTTCTCGAGGATGGTTCAGAAATTGGTCCATTCTCTCGGTTTAGGGTTTAGGGTTTAGGGTTTAGGGTTTAGGGTTTAGGGTTTAGGGTTTAGGGTTTAGGGTTTAGGGTTTAGGGATCAATATCCCCTATAAGCGCATATAAACCCTATAAACCCAATAAACCCTGATCCGCACTAAGTCACTAAGAGAAGTCCCTAGCCAAGCACCTTTCACCCTACAAACCCTACTACCCCCCCTAACCCCCCTCAATCGTCAGCTGGCAAGCCTTCTCTAACTTCAGGGCGACCTTCGCATCATAGGGCACGTAGGTGCCATCACCATCCTGCGATGACGCGGGTTTGGGGCCGTGGGGTTCGGGGTTACTTCTCCAACAACCAGGGAATAAACAGGAAAAAACCTTAAACCCCATAAACCCATACACCCTGCACCCTAAACCCCAAACCCTTCTCAACCCTAAACCCTATAGACCCTAACTCCGAAACCCTGAGCTCCGATGATGGTTCGGAGGTTTGCCGAGCTCCCAGAGCCCTAAACCCTAAACCCTAAACCCTAAACCCTAGACCCTAAACCCTCAACCCTAGTCCCGAGCTCCTGCCACTCCCACTTCGGCACAAACTGTGCGATGTGTTCGAAGGTCGAGTCCTGGACCTCCCACGAGGCCACGAACGACTGGGGTTTAGGGTTTAGGGTTTAGGATTTAGGGTTTAGGGTTTAGGGTTTAGGGGTTTGGGGTTTGGGGTTTGGGGTTTGGGGTTTGGGGTTTGGGGTTTGGGTTTAGGGCTTGGGGGTTGGGTTTAGGGTTTAGGGAAATCATACCGCAACCCTGGACCGTATGCCGACCCACGTGCAAACATTGGCTGCCTTGAAACGGAGGGTTTTAGGAGTTGCCTGAACCAAAGCTGTTAACTCCCCAAAGCCCATGAACCTCAACCGACCCTAAACCATCAACCCTGAACCCCAAACCCTGAACCCCAAAACTTCAACCTAGATCCTAACCCTAAGCTCTAGCCCTAAACCCCAAAACGTCCTGAACCCTAAACTCTGAACTCCGCTCCGTGGGTACCTCGCTTCCCGAAGCATGGCTGAGCAGACTGGCAACGCCACCCATGGCGGCAAAAGCAGTGAGGCTCTGCGCTTTAGGGTTTACGGTTTCGGGTGCAGGGTTTAAGGGTTCAGGGTCTAGGGGGTACGGGAGGGGCTCGCGGGCTTTTAGGCTTCGGGTCTTTAGGCTTGGGGCATAGGCTTTGCATTTGCAAAGAAAGGTTGGGACCCAGAAACTCAAACAACTGCTCAAAGGTGCGGCCTACTGAACCCGCGCTGCCTAGGCATCTCGTTACATGTACTCCCTTGATGGGTCGAATTCTAAACACTAAACCCTAAACCCTAAAGCCAAAACCCTAAACCCTGGTTTTCTTTGACTATAGAAGCCTAGCCATGCCATGACAACCCGCGATGAGCCCTGTGAAGCCAATGGCCCTCACAACGAAACCAGGTTCCCGCCCAGGCTTTTACGGGTTTAGGGTTTAGGGTTAGAACCTACTATCTTGAAGTACCTGACCTCCCACACCTTCGGCCCTCAAAACCCTAAACCCTAAACCCTAAACCCCAAAGCCTAACCACTAAACCCCAAACCCTAAACCCTGAAGCCTAAAGCCTAAAGCCTAAAGCCTAAACCCTAAACCATGTTGGTTGAGCTTTGAAGGGCTTGGGCGAGGTCTCCTCTTTGGTGGGTGGCTTCTCTCCTCTTTTGGGGGGTGCAAACCAAATCCTCAGAAGCAAACAATGAGAGTCGACGGCTACCCTTCAAAGGAAGGTTTCTAGGGGACGAGGATCAGGAATGGCAGAGGATAGTTCGGGGGTGTTGGTAGGGTTCAGGGTTTGAAGTCTAGGGCATTCGGCATCAGGGCCTGGGGGTGTAAACCCTAAACCCTAAACCCTAAACCCTAAACCCTAAACCCTAAACCCTAAACCCTAAACCCTAAACCAGGGCGCCCTGAACCTGCAAAGCGCAGTGCCCTGCGATTCCGTCAGCCGCTAAGCGGCGGGAGATCCTCGCCATCATCGCCGTCTTCACCCTGGAGTCGTAGGGGTTTAGGGTTTAGGGTTTAGGGTTTAGGGTTTAGGGTTTAGGGTTTAGGGTTTAGGGTTTAGGGTTTAGGGTTTAGGGTCCCTTAGACTAACAGTCCTTAATAGGGAGTATAATCGGGGGTACTATACTTCCTATTAAGGCCTGTTAGTAGAAGAGGGAAAATCAATTCATTGTGGGTGAGACCTCTCAAGAAGGGGACCCAGGCCCCCAAACCCTAAACCCTAAACCCTAATACGAGCCGAGGGCCGTCGACGTCGCTACTTGCGATCGGGGTAGGCTTGTAAGACCCCCCGCCCCCCCCCCCCGGTTGGTGGAGCGCACACCTATTCGACTACGAAGCAACAGTTGGCATGCGTCATCATCTGGTAGCAAGAATGACCTCCTGAGCCGACATCAAAATCTCTCCCCCTTGCAAACCTCGGACCCTCAACCGAATCAACTGCACCTGCAACAGCCAGCTCTAAACCTTGGGATGTTCCCCCTTACTCTAACAGTCCTGGGGACATATATAACATCCAGTAATGACTTTTAGTATAGGGGGGAACATCCCAATCTAACCCCTAACCCCCAGACCGGAATCCTGCGAACACAGAACAAAACCTTGCCCTCGGCGCACCTCACTCAGACCGAGACCTGGCTTTCGTGTTGGGGCTGAAGTGCTTTGGGGCCATTGAGGGTACGGCTTGTAGCCTGTTTTAGCTTCTTCAACAGGCGGGCAAAGAAAAGGTGCCTTTTTGAAACTTCACCCCTGGTCCGATCTCCCGACGCTTGCAGATCTAGAAGGAACCAGCGGCCTCAAAACAGACATCTTTCACCTCGCGAAGGCAACAGGGCCCTGAACCAGAGCAAATGTGGGAAGCAAATCCTGGCTCAGGGCCAGTCCCTCACATCCAGGCTCGCTTTTCAACGCCCAGGATATGGGGGTTTCCGAAATTAGGGGCACCTTTTTGGGGTCCTTATTATAAGGGGATTCTACTATATGGGCGTGAATTTTCGGGGTCGCTTTTTTACGTAAACTCCCATATCATGGTTTATGCTATATATATGTACGGCATTGGACCAGGGGTGAACCCGCTGCTGTGACAGTTCCTATGGATGACACTTGAACCCTAAACCCTAAACCCTAAACCCTAAACCCTAAACAGTGGAATACTCCATTGGCCCATGTCGAGACTTCGGCCCCATCTAACAAAAAAAAGGAACAACGGAAGAACCGCACGTTGATGTCGAGAATACCAAGAAACTTAGTACCTGCCGAGCCCCTAAAGCCCGAACTTTGAACTTTAAGCCCTAAGCCCTAAGCCCTAAGCCCTAAGCCCTAAGCCCGAAGCCCTAAGCCCTAAGCCCAAAGCCCAAAGCCCGAACTCTAAACCCCAAACCCCAAACCCCAAACCCTATACTCTAAACCCTAAACCCTAAACCCTAAACCCTAAACCCTAGAACCTAAACAAACAAAACGAAGCCGTCGGGCCTGTACTGCCTTGGCTTGAATGCGTCGGTGACTCCATTGACTTGGCCTTGACTTGCCAGGGAGGCTGCAGCTCAGAAACTTGGGGCGGGCCTAGGGCTTCTGGGTATGTAGGTTTAGGGTTTAGGGTTTAGGGTTTAGGGTTGAGGGTTGAGGGTTGAGGGTTGAGGGTTGAGGGTTGAGGGTTTAGGGTTTAGGGTTTAGGGTTAGGGTGCGGGGTAGGTTTTATGGATAATGGGTAATAGCTTATGGGGTTTTAGGGTTTGGGGTTGATTAGGGTCTCTTGGGTTTGGGGTGTGGGGTGAAGGTGTTGGTGTTTCGGGGTGGAGATGGAGACGATGCAGTTTGTGCACATACATTCGGGCGCTCTCAGTTCTCCTCCTCCCATGCAGGCTTTAGAGTTGGCGTGGCCTGTTCGAAAAAAAAACTGGAACCTAAACCCTAAACCCTAAACCCTAAACCCGACAACAGATTCGGCCTTTTTGACAACATCTGAAGCCTCGTAGAGTCGCGCATCGCGCAGCCATATGCGGAGCCGTCTCCTTCAACATGCTGTCCTTCTAATTGTCGCAAAAATCCTCCCTCTTAAGGCCTTCTTAGTATGGAGAATAGGGCTCCAGCTATTCTTCTCTTTATCAAGGACTGTTAGGCTCTTAGGAGAAACATCCCAACGATGATAGGAGCCCCAGAGGTCGAAACCCCGAAGCCCGGAAGTAGGGCCAAGACCCCCCCCCGCCGCCCCACTCCAGCCCCTGCTCCCCCCCAAACCCCTAAAAACGTTGCTGCACCCTAAGATCTTAAAATAGAGCACGGCCCCGAAATCCTGGACTCTCAATTTGGGTTCTTCCCAAAATAGGGGTGCCCCTTTCATACACCAAATAAAACAGAAGCCCCTGAAAGGGACCTCCACAAAGGTCATAAGAACCTCATAAACGCACTCCTGAGATTACCTGTGCTGCCACTGGGAACCCCTGACAGCGGGCAGAACCAGGGGTGGAGCCTCGGTCCAGGATGTGGCGCTTGCTCGGGGGTTTGGGGTTTGGGGCTTGGGGTTTAGGGCTTGGGGTTTAGGGTTTAGCGTTGCCGGGTTGGGGGTGTGGACTTTAGCTTCAGGGATATCTGCGCCTAGGGCCTTCGGGCTCGGGGTGGGATTAAGGCGATGTGCGGCTTATCACGCCAGGCACGGTGCAGAGGTGCCAAGCCTGCCTCGATTGGCCGATCATGGTTAGGGTTTATGGTTTAGGGGTTAGGGTTTAGGGTTTGGGGTTTAGGGTTTAGGGTTTGGGGTTTAGGGGTTGCGGGTTAGGGGGTTAGGGGTTAGGGTTCTGGGTTTAGGGTTCTGGGTTTAGGGTTTAGGGCGGCAGTGGCGGCGATTCTGACAATGACATGTCGTTCCACGATTTAGGGTCTGGCGTGTTGTGGTTGAGAGGTTGTGTTCGGGTTCAGGGTTGAAATGGGGAGGTTTAAACCCGAAACACGCCCGTAATTCCAATATCCTCACATCCACCCAGCAACCTTGAATTCCCTGGAAACTGTTGCATGCAACACGCAACTTAGGGCTTAGGACTTATGAGTTTACCGGGCCTATCAGCCCCATAAAGCCTACAAGCCTTATTCAAAACCCAACTGGCTTGAAAAACTAAGGCTAACTAAGGCTAACTAAGGGAATACAGGCGTAGAGACTCCTACCCTCTACCCGAAACCCTAAACCCTAAACCCTAAACCCACCAAAGCCTTCCGTGGCCCCGGGCCGTACAGGGTGCCTCGAGTGGTCGCACGACAGGCGCGCGTGGCGGTACTGGCCGCAGGAGGCTCACCGGGGCCTTTGAGCTAGGATGGCCATTAACACCCATTAAGGGTTTAGGGTTTAGGGTTTAGGGTTTAGGGTTTAGGGTTTAGGGTTTAGGGTTTAGGGTTTAGGGGGTTCTTCCTGAATTAAGGGCAAACATACAATGTCCCAAGGGCCTTGGGGGCTTGTGATGGGTTGACCCTAGAATACAAGACCCTCAGCCGCCAAACCCTACCTGGACTAACAAAACCTGAGGGTTTAGTGGTTCAGGTTTTTAGGGTTTAGGGTTTAGGGTTTAGGGTTTAGAGTTTAGGGTTTAGGGTTTAGGGTTCAGGTTTAGGGAATTACCCACACGGTAGTGCCGGCCGATATGCCCAAAAGTCCTTTGAGCTCTCGAGGCTTTCTGTCGGGGTCCATGTGGCATCTTTAAAGTCTAGATACAGCCTTACAGCCCTCAAACTCCTAGCCGGTTTTAGGGTTTAGGGTTTAGGGTTTAGGGTTTAGGGTTTTCTTATATTGCGGGCTTTCTCTTCCCTGGTTGTTGAAGAAGTGCGGTTCTTATGGGAGTTGAGGGGTGGATGCGACGAGGCTGCGGGTTCAGAGCTCGGATTCTGTAGGGTTATGCCGCTGGAAGGTTGTTCAAGCTAGGTTCGTACCTCGACTACTGGCCAGACCACTTTCAAGCCTAAACCCTGAACCCTGAACCCTGAACCCTGAACCCTGAACCCTGAACCCTGAACCCTGAACCCTGAACCCTGAACC